AAAAAAAGGGAATAGGAAATCCAAATATTGAGAGCAGAATAAAAATGGAAGAAGTTTTGTAGCCCTAGAATTTTCAGACTTAGGAGAAGAATGCAAGACACAGATAAATAAACGTTACACTATTCTACTCTTTAATGCAAACTGCTACTGGGTAGCTGCTAAAGTCCAAAGGAAACTAAATGTTTCCATCCAACATTCCAAAGAAGAGACTTGGCCTCAGGTATGTAAGAAAGAAAGAAAAGAACAGACACAACGGCCTCACTGGGATAATGGCCTGAAGGGACAGGCAAGGGGGTCATGACACAGGTAACAACGTTTAGGGATATTGTTTTTAAATTCTTCTGCACTAAGTTTACCCTACTCTACTCAAGATGAAAGATCTCCAAAAAGTAATAATATTTGTGACTGTGAAGTACTTTCATTACACGTAATTGATGATCGACAAAGAAAGTCTGGATTATTTGAAGTATTTTAATTACACGGAATTGATGACCAAAATGTAAATATTCAACTTTGAGAATTAATAACAAAACAGGCTGAAAGAAAACTTTTGGGGAAGGTTAAAAAAGTGGAATGGCCTTTTGCTTACTTAAGAATTCCAAAGTAATAAAACTCCGCAAATGTTTGGGTCTCAAAATAACAAATCTTTGTCTTTTTATGTACTCTGTTTAAATGCCTATTTTTTTTTTTAAAAGCAGCCAGGAGCCCCATTGTTGCTAGAGAAGAACAAATCAGCTTCAGAGACTGTGCTGAAGTATTCAAATCAGGACAAACCACGAATGGCATCTATACGTTAACATTCCCTAATTCTACGGAAGAGACCAAGGTGAGGCGTTCGTCCCCCATTACTAACTCCCTGGCTCTAGGCAGGCCACTTTAGAGAGTGGGGAACCAGGGAGCAGAAGTCTCTCCCCAACGATCTCCCCCAGCCTCACACAGTACAAAGCCACTGTTACTGTGCAGCCACCTCACACAGGGCACTGGCCAAGGGCTCTACGTTCCACTGCTGTGCAGAAATACAGAAGCCACATAGGAATGACGTGGAAATGTTATCCTCGGCAAGAAACATATCCTCCTTGCATTTTGCTTGACTAACGCATACTGTTAGTTGTTCCTCCTGAGGTGCCAGATTCATTTCATTAATTTTAAAGAAAATGTCTTCTAGAAACTGAAGTTCAAATAACCATAGTACATCAGCTATAGAGGTTTCATGAAATTAATAATTTCTACTGCCGTGCCAAAGACACTTTTCAATGATGCTAGTGTTCCTTTCGTTTGTGTCTGTGACTTGCACGGTTTGCTACCGCTGCCTTGCCTCATGCGGGGACGGTAGTAGTTTTATCCACCACGGCTTTGCTCTATCTGAGCAAACGCTAACACAGTGCCTCGGACCAGTGGTGTCTCAGCAACATGAAAACTGCTTCAACCTTGTGGACTTGCTGATAGGGTCTCGGGGACACGCAGGACTCTGAGGACCACACCATGAGAACCACTGGGGCAGGTGATTCTAACCTCATCTAACACAGTCTGGAAGACTCGAAACACACCAAAGACAGCATTCCTTTTCTTCTCAAGCAGGAGAGTTCACTTCAAGGCACATGTTCATTTATTGTGTGTAACGTGAGTGCACAGCCAGTACTCACAGCAGGCTGAGACACAACACAGCTTACCTCAGTTATTCCTCGCTCTGCAAGCTCACTCAGTGAGCCTGTCTCCTGAGCTTTAGATGAGGGAAAAAAAGAAAAAATCACTCTTGGAGAATGTTTCAACGTGGCTTCTCTTCTCTTAAACATTTGATAGGGCAGAATGATATTATAAGAGAATCAGTGTGAAGTGTTATAGGAATACTGGATGACTGCATATATTTAAATGTCTATAAATATACAGCTAGTGCTCGACTTACGACCACAATTGGTTCCGACAGACCGGTCGTAACACGATTTGGTCATAAGTTGAGTAGGCTATATGCACGCGGAGATGGTAGTGCTGCCGGAAGCTGGTCCGCACTGTTGTACGCCCAGCTGGGCAACGTTTGCGCGGCCAGACGCGGAGCAGTCGTGGCTAGCAATTGTGGTCGTAAAGTCAAATGGTCGTAAGTTGCATAGGTCGTAAGTCGATCAATACCTGTATTTGCATATATATGTCCAAGCAGCTACATATTGAACCAACACAAATAACGACAGAGAATACACTGGATACTATACCAAAATGGAAATTTTAGGGGCTCTGGAAGTATTATCTCTTTTAACTATTATCCTAAGTATTTAATATGGTATTAAAGAAAAACACTTTAAAAATACAAGCATTAGGGTTTTAAAGACCTGGAACTTGAAACAGTAACATATATCTTGATTAAGAATGAAAAAGATAAATATTATTATATTCAACATAATACTTTCCAGAGAAACCTTTCTAATTCATTCATGCTGTGTTAAATCAACCCTGAAAATTAGTTAATGTCCCTAGTGCCCTAGAAGCAGTACAACAGGGGAAGGAAGGGAACGGACCCACAAACAACACAGTCTGCTGCAGAAGAAAAAGCAGGGAACAGACTCTAGGCTATGTGTTTCGATCTCTTTTGCTATCTGGTTTTCATGACAATTCTTTGCATGCCACTGTCTGTCACCAGATGTTGGCATGTTCTTGGCCTAGTGGTAATGGGGACAGGAGTGTCAAGGTGGGGGACAGAGGATGCCTGTGAAATGAGGATGCCTGGAAAGTGCCGCAGAGGGACAGCCCTGCTAACCAGGTGGCCCTGTTGTGTTGCTGGATGTATGTTTCTCAGCCTAAGCACAAGCTTCCCACCCAGTTCACTGTCCCACCCTCCCCCTCTGCCCTGGAATGACTGAAATACTCTGCAGAAAGATGAAAATATATAGTACTCTGAGATTATAGGAGCCTCAGGTCATGGTTGGAAACATTAGGATTTATATTCCCTTTAAACATTTGCAGTAAAAGAAACTCATTTACACAGCAGGGAACAATAAGCTTTCAAAAACCTCATTTTCTATTCTTGAAAATAAATGGTGTCGCTTGCTACCTCTAAATTCCCTTCGGGACTTAAGACTCCATAACTCACAAGCTGATCCAGGGAGAGACAGACAGATGTGGATGTAAATCCTGGCTCTGCCATTTGCGGCTCTGGGCAAGTCATGTAACCTTTCTGAGCACTCAGTTTCCTAACATGTAACACAACAATGATACCCGCAGCCTGAGAGGTTGTGTCAACACAGGGCCAGCCTCTGGGGTACAACCTGGGGCAGTAAACGGGAGTGGTCACCATTTTTACTCCCTCCAAAGACTACCAGATAACTTCTCTGCCTGGCAGTGTACCCCCTTCTGCCCTAGTTTATCTAATTCAAGAAAAGAACGTTCAATTGGTCTTTGAGCAGATCTTTTCCTAAAAGGACAATATATTGCAACTTCAGTTTTAAAAAATTCATTAGGTTCTTGTACAAGAGAGAGACTGCAAGATGGCATTTATCAAAAGTGTGGATACTTTTGCTAGAGACATGGTCATTTCCTTCCTTACATTTCATAGGACCCCTGAATCCTAATGTTTGTCCCTATGTTTGCTATTTAATCCGGCACTTAACCACGGCCTCAAAGTTGAAGCAAGTCAAGGATTATTTGCTGAAAAACATCAAGCTTTATAGGAAGATATCAGGTTCCTGCACCATGCAGCAGTGGAGATTCAAAACATTAACTGCCCTTAGGTTTGTTGTCATTGGAGTGGTAAGGTCTTGGGAAATAGCTGAGGACTTCTCTTCTGATGCTGATATAATCGATTTCAGCACTTTTACTCAGTATCTTCTGGCTGTGTGGCTAACTCTATTTGGACACTATCTTTCTCTGCAAGTTTTATAGTCCAATCAACGCTAATACATCAGTTTTTACAAATCCTCTGTTCTTTTTTCTAAAAACCTGGATGGAGTACTAAGAAAATGCTCTAATAACCTTATCATCATCCCTAATGGAATCAAAGAGAATACTGATACGTCTCGAATCATTTATGTGCTGGCAGTGACTCTCAAGACATTTGAGAGTATTGCCTCTCAACTTCCATAACAAGATAAACTTGCTCTCTGAACAACAGAGAACATGTATTTAAATACTGGTAACTTCATAGCAGTGATTTTGACACTGAAGAATCAAATATTCTTGGAACAAGGATAGGTTCATCAAGAACCATATTAATGCTTTCGACCCAAGGGCATGCCATTTAGGATACAGAATTAACTTCAGTATATATACATGAATCCTCAAACCAAAATAGCCTATTCCGCTAGTTTGTAAAATAGTTTTTTTAAAGACATATTGACAGAAGTGAGCAGCACTGACCATGTTGTTGACTGCAGGCAAATAAGAGGCAGTATTATTCATGAACTGATTTAAACTTGGAACTGTGTTGAGGGACTTTTGGCCTATTAACAGAAGAGTCAGGTTTCTCTGTTTTGGCAACATGATGTCAGTGGAAAAAAACATAACAGGAATTAAAGAGATCTTATTCAAATCCTATATATCACTTAGTAGGTGAGTAACTGATCAAATTAATCTAACTTTACTAAATCTTTTCTCCTTTCAAAAATGCAGAATTGTGATAGTACAGCACAGTTGCTGTGAGACTATAGATAATATACACAAAGTATCTGGCAGAGTGCTTGGATCAGAGTGGTGTGTAGCAATGATAATAAGAATTACAGCAATACACAATGATAATAAGGAGTTAGCTTGGGTAGACTGATCTTCTAGGTCTGATTACTTTTAAATGGGGAAATAATTCTCTTCTTAATAAATGTAATTTTCAATAATGGCACGTATCTTTCCAAACATGAGTGCCACTGGGGAAGGCAATATGGGCCAGGTGACCTTCCTGGAGAGAGACCAGAGCGTGCTGGGGTGAAGGCTCCTGCAGACCAGGCTGTTCCAGGGACAGTTCTCTGGCTCCACCGGCAATGAGGCATCAGGCAGCCACCGCACTTCCTCTGCGTCTCTCTTTCCTCACGTAGGAAATGAAGGAACAGCACTAGGCACTCTCTTGGTGCTCCTTTAGCTCTCCTCTCTAGATTCTAACTCGTAAAGAGAGAACAGTTTGCATTGAAGCTTACCCTGACAAATCGCCTCCATTATTCTCAAAAAGACCATGGAGCGCAACAAAGGAAGAATATCTATTGTTGGTTTTGAACCTTAACTTCAGTATGTCCTACCTTGTATGCGTCAGAAAATTTATCTTACTTTCTGGAAAATATGTTTCGTTCTACTGTAATCTTATTATTTAAAACTATTGATGTAATCTTATTTTCAGGGGTTTTTAATTTCATAATAAAACTCCAGCTGAGTTGAAATTGAGCATGCATGCACTTAGCTTAAGAAAGAATTCTGTGTTCTGGACAAAGTTTAAACCCACAGAGCCAGTTTAAGAGCAGAAACAAAAAGCGTTGCTTAGAGAAAAACTGTGGGCAGTGAGCAATGTACAGAGAAGCCTTCAGTCATACCCTTGGGGCCAAGCTGCTAAGCCAAGCTCAGGTCACACACCTTGCGCCAGGACAGCAGAGCCTCAAGGCCGTTGTCCTCAGAGGTGAACCAAAAAATCTGATTTGCAATGCACATAAAGGAAGCCTAACAGCCCCACAGTGTGAGAATGTAATGGGAGTCCTGCAAAGCCTCGGATCAAAGAGCATCCCCTTCACATGGCTCTCTGCAGAGCTGGCAGGGGCTGGCAATTAGTGAAAGGTTTCAAGTCTGTGAACACAAGTCAATGGCTTCCTACAGGAGGGGGATGTTGGGTTTGGGGCCAATCTGCCAAAATGTGCCATTCACAATGAACCTCTGAAAAACAGCAATCTCAGAGCCAGCCATCAGGGTGGGGTCGTTGGCCTGGAACAGATGATGACAAGCAACTCATATTCTCATCAACACTTTGTATTATATTACTGTTTATTTTTCACCATCATTTTAAATCCATCTCTTTCAATTTATTTAAAACCATCTGTTTCTTAGACAAGCCCGATGGTCTACTCGTGCCTTACATCCCTGGCTGAGTTCTGTACTGGGGGCCCACATTCCTTCTGCTCCTGCTACCTAAAGGGGTCCTCCATCACTCATACCCTGCGTTTCCATTGGCAGGCCTTCTGTGACATGGAAGCTGGTGGAGGCGGGTGGACAATTATTCAGCGACGTGAGGATGGCAGCGTTGATTTTCAGAGGACTTGGAAAGAATATAAAGTGGTATGCACATTTTTAAAAAGCATCAGGAGAGAATTTCCCTTGTGAAAAATAGCTTTCAAGATCTGCAGAACCTTAACCACCAATCCCAAACTAACCAATGACTTTTGCCATAGTTTTTAAAATCTGTGTTCAGATTAGTTCTTCAACTTGGCGTTTCAGTCTCCCCTTTAAAGAATGACCAATATAAGGTAAACTGTATCAAAACAAAAGCTGCAGCTGGTGCGGTGGCTCATATCTGTAATCCCAGCACCTCAGGAGGCCGAGGCGGACAGGTCACCAGAGGTCAGGAGTTTGAGATCAGCTCACCAACATAGCGAATCTCTGTATCTACTAAAAATACAAATGTCAGCCAGGTGTGGTAGTGGGTGCCTGGAATTCCAGCTACTTGGGAGGCTGAGGCAGGAGAATCCCTTGAACCGGGGAGATGGAGGCTGCAGTGAGCTGAGATCATGCCACTACACTCCAGCTGGGTGACAGAGCAAGACTCTGTCTCCAAAAAAAACGCAAGCAGCACGGCTTGGCTTATTTTTAAAGCAGGCTCAGTGTGCCTTGGTGAGCCACTGTTTCATGGTGCCTCCCATTTCCATAAACTGAGCTGTTGATGCTGAGGCTTCTGCTTGAGGCTCCCCAAGTAGTTCTAATCATCCTAATACAAATTTTCTTCCGGCAACAGCTTAGTGTCATATAACTGACCTGTTTAAAATCCATTTTCCTATGCAAAGGACCTGAACTGTCACAGCACCAGAAGTAATTTCTGCTATTTTAGAGTTACTCTATGTTAAGCTGACGGACTATTCACTTCAAATACACAAAGAAAAAATATATGAGTAATTGAATTTTACAACTTGCATTACAGGGATTTGGTAACCCTTCAGGAGAATACTGGCTGGGAAATGAGTTTGTTTCACAACTGACTAATCAGCAACGCTATGTTCTTAAAATACTCTTTAAAGACTGGGAAGGGAACGAGGCTTACTCATTGTATGAACATTTCTATCTCTCAAGTGAAGAACTGAATTATAGGTAAGTGAATTATTTGTAATTGAAAGAAAAAGTTAAAAGATTTGCTGGGTGACTATTCCAGAAAATGAGAACCACGATGATTTAACCAAGATCTAAACTACTCTTAGATCACCTGAAATCAAAAAACATCTTGTTTCTCAAAATTATTAAGATTATCTGGTTTTAAAATTCTAACTTTGGTTATAGCAATATAAAGAACACTTCATATGAACAGTATTCTGTCTGTCTGTTGTGTTCACTGTGTATCCTCAAAGCCTAGAAGAACCCTGCCTGGCAGATAATTGGCTTTCAGAGCTATTTGTAAAATAAGTGAACGGTAAGTGTTCCCACGATAAGATATCATACGAATAGCATAACTGATGGATACTTGTGATTGTACTGTTTTATTTCAAAAGGTTTCAAAAGTTAATCTGTCTTTATGCAGTTTAAACTCATTCCATTGTGTTCAATCTCAAAGTCAAGGTCAGTTGTCAAGTTTAGAGATGGCAGAGTTAGGTGGGATGGTCAGTCAACTCTACTCTCCTCTACAGGAAATACATCAGATGCACAGCATTCCCTGAGTGTTTGCCTTGTCCTCACCCATTTGGTGGCGATAATCATAAGTAACAGCATGGGCAGCCCTGACCGGGAATTTACTTTCTGCTTCTAAATGCCACGAGAGTAGAGACAGAACAGCAACGGGACGTGACAACCTAGTTTGCGAGATAAGCATGGTGAGGCCATGTGCACGGTAAAGCTGGTACACAAGGCACACAGAGGCACTCCAAAATGTGTGTGCAATGGTGGGGGGCAGAGAAGTGAGACTGTGTGCCCAGTGGCACCAACACCACCCTGACAGAGTATAAAGAGCACTGACTGGTGGCACCTGGTGATCATGGAGTACACATTATGAAATACCCACTTCAAGGTCAGAAGTTAGCAAATGAAGGTCAACACGAACATCACAAAAAACAGTCATCATCTGACCTACAGTCTCATCTTCATCTCAATAATGCCCAGCTCAGATGCTCTGCTCAACAGAAATTCCACAGCCTAAACAGTCTCACAGTAGCCACGATGTGAAGGTCTGTGAGCAGGCTGCCCAGGGGAGGGTGGGCAGCACACAGAAGTGGCTGATCGTCAAGTTGCCTGAACAACCAACTGAAAACTACACAATGCCCAGTATGTCCTGCTTTGCAAACAGTGGATGAAAATTCAGAAGCATGTTTGAGAAACAGAGAAACATGGATGTGACTCTTCAAACATCAGTGATGCATATTCCATCAGTTCTCATTATGGGAAGACCAGGCTCTCCTAGAGGGGCAGCAACGGAGATGAATGAGAAAATAGGTGTGTGGGTCTCACAGCAGTTCCGACTTGATTCCAAAGAGATCAAAACTTCAATGAAGTTTGAGACACAAGTGGTTGGTCATTGTTTTACCTCCAAGTTAAATATTTTTTCAACTGGCAACAGTTAGGAATCTACAACAGAAGAATTAAAAAAAAAAGCAGGACGAAAATTAAGGATTGGGCTGTTTGTATAAGAAGATTTTTACAAAATGGGTCATTACCCTTGCACGCTGACATTATAAAAATATTTTAAACTGAGATGGTTCTTAACAGATATTTCCTTTAGAAATGCAGTCAGTTTTTGGATAGGCCATTTAGAAAAACACATACATTGGCTTAAAGTTTAGTTTAATTTGCTTGGTAAGATAAAATAGGTATTACATCAAAATTATTACCCTAATAAAACATGATGGTAGGGTGATAAGAGAGCTGTGAAGGGACTGAAACCTTTCAAAACCGCGAATTGTATGCAGCGTGTAAGGGATTTTTTTTTCTGAAGAAATGTTCTCCAAATGTTGGAAAACTTGAATATACATGATATAAGAAATGGATAAATGCATCAACAGAATTTAATTCTTTCCAATAAAACTAAAAGCTATGTGTACATTAAACCTTAAAAATTGGTTACTTTTCACACACATTCTGGTAGTTTTATATACGCTAAGGTTTAACTGTTAAATGTTGACAATACCTCTTTACTCCACTGTTATAGAAAATCATCCCTGGCAAAGCTGCAGAGATTAAAAAAAAAAATCAACCAATACCAATATAAAGTAACTTCAAGAATGTGGCTATTCTTAATAACCAAATTTTAAAGAAAGAATTTTAAACCAGTGGGCCATAAAAGGACCTCAAATTTTACATTCTCCCTTATTTTTCTTGCCTCTGGGAAAAATTTGACAAGTTCCATGAGAACTAAAAATGTTCAAGGAGACGGGAGAGTTAAAAGATAAGCAAGGGAAATGGTTCATCTCAATCCTGCCTATGATTAATGGGAAAACAAGGGAAAGAAAGTAAAGTGTTTCAGAATCCCAACAAAGATGAGCGTTTATGACATTCACATTCTGCAGTAGGCATTTAGAGACAGAGAAAAGGCCAGTCTCATTTTTGAAACATGTAGGAAAACACGGAGACTCACATGTCCAGTCCATGCCTTAGGATGAAGTTTCTAGGGCTGCTTTAACACCGAAGTAACTTAGGAGCAACACTTACGGAACTCCACATCACATGGCCTCACCCTCATATTTTCACAACTTTCTCCAACAAACAAACATCTCTGTTTAGGTGTGTGCCAGTGCAGAAACATGGCAGAGGGGTTTGCTGCATCTGGTGCAAATCCTACCTCCATGACTCAAGAGTTTGACCTCGGACAAGTTCGTATCTCTGAACCTCAGTGACTTCCAGTACAAAAACAAAGATGGTGGCCACCACTGTGGGTGGTTTTGAGCATCCAAGGTGCATGCAGGTGTAAGTACCTGGCCTGGCCTGACCAGCATGTAGAACTAAAAGAACTTTTTCTCTCTTCTTTGCACGCTTCCAATACAAACTCTTAGAAATTATATTACACCAATGTGGCAGTTAGTAAACATTAGCAGGTTTTACAAAGAAGGGCATCATCTTGGTGCTTCAAGTGCACTTTCCTGCCACCATTGCAGGATTTGCTTTGCAGGCTCCTCGCCTGGGTCATCATGTGCCTGTTTCTCCATCAGGATGTGAGGACTCAGCGTGCCAACATGACATACCCCATTACATGAATGCCTGCTCTCGTCTGTCCTGAACCATCTGCCAAGGGGCTTCTTTGCAGCAGAAGCTCTTGAGCATAGTTACGGGAAAAAATTATTTTAAACCCCCAAAACATATTTTCTTCTCCCTTCCCTTATATGTTCCTTGCTGGTACACAGACAACCAATGTAAGCCGCATTTTTCCAATACAACTTAATGATGGTGCGAACGTGATACACATTCAGCAGAAACTACACTTTGAGATTGAAATTTGGATCTTTCCCTGGCTAGTGATATGTGGCACGACGCCCCCTCGCGATGCTGGGCAGAGGCAGTGAGCCACAGCTCCCAGTCAGCCCTGTGGTCACCTGGGTTAACAAGACACTGCGTGCACCACGCTGCCAAATGGCTCTGCCTGGCTGTGGGCGAATGTGAGTGTTCCGGGCACACTGAAGGAAGGCTAGGGCTAGGCTAGGGTGCTCCAAAGCTCAGGTGTATTCCACGCATTTTCAAGCCCCAACATTTTCAACTGACAATGGGCCTTTCAGAACGTAGCCCCATGGGGAGGCAGGGATTGCCTGTATTGCCAATAGTGTCTGACTGACTAAGACATTTGCTCATTTCTCAATGTCTAATGGTTGTATTACATTATACTACTATACAGACATGAGGCAAAGCAGCCATAAAGATTCATTTTCAGCACCATTCTGTAGATTCCTGCCCCCAACTTAGTGGCCACTCCTCGTCTGCTGCCTTCTCCATCGCCCCCCGCCACCCACCTCTGCAGAACATGATGTTTGAGGTTGGTCTCTTGTCTCTATGGAAGATGACTGGAGACCTTGGAAAAGGACCCTCGTGTTGCATTTCTCTCTTCTGTCTATCTGAAAGCAGCAGAAAAATAAATTACAAGGCACTACAGTCACTGCTGGTAGTTGTGTAAGTGATGTGCGTTGAAGGTTTCATGAAAACATCCCTCTCTGCCGAAGGATTTGATGATAAGTTGGTTCCTGTTTATACCAAGTGCAAAATATTTTGTCCGGAGTATGCATTAGTCCACTAATGAGTACAGAACACACTTCTGTAGAATGGAATTCTTCATTACAAAAAATTTTCCACTACGGTAAATCAATGACCCAAGCCAATTAAATTTGTTGTTTTTTTCTTTGCATGCTTACAGGATTCACCTTAAAGGACTTACAGGGACAGCCGGCAAAATAAGCAGCATCAGCCAACCAGGAAATGATTTTAGCACAAAGGACGCAGACAACGACAAATGTATTTGCAAATGTTCACAAATGCTAACAGGAGGTAGGGAGGACTTTCTGTCTTCCTATTTGTATTGGCAAGGAACAATATCATAGAGGGAAAGGCTGGCAGTTTGGACTTCAAATTGCGATTGGTAACGATGTCCAAAATTTCATATGTAGACACACTAGTTTCATGCAGGTACATGTGTTTTTCACTTTTTTAGTCTAAGTTTTAAATGAGAGTATGATATGGAGTTAGACTTGTCAGCAAGCCAACTGTGTCTCCTCAGGACCTAGCCCGGGCAAGGAGAGGGCACATTTAACACTTAGCAAGCTCTTCTGAGTTTGTGCTTGCTGGATACTAGAGAGATGGTTTAATTACATTTTGCTTTATTTAAAAAGTTAAAAATTCAAAGTGGTGACCAAAACAGTAATATAGATTATAGAAATATTTCTAACTAATAATTTAATGTTCAAACAAGAAATTTCCAGTTATCTTTTTATTTATTTATTTTGAGACAGAGTCTCACTTTGGTGCCCAGGCTGGAGTATAGTAGTGTGATCTCAGCTCACTGCAACCTCCACTCCCCAGGCTCAAGCGATTCTCCTGCCTCAGCCTCCCCAGTAGCTGGGATTATAGGCGCCTGCCAATGCACCCGGCTAATTTTGTATTTTTAGTAGAGAAAGGGTTTCACCTTGTTGGCCAGGCTGGTCTCAAACTCCTGGCCTCAGGTGATCTGCCCACCTCGGCCTCTAAAAGTGTTGGGATTACAGGCATCAGCTTCCGCATCCAGTTGTCTTTTTAAAAAAGATTTCATTAATATAGAGGAGACACCTATAAGCAGAAACAAGTTGCCAACCTTTTTTAGTACCTCAAATTAAAATGAGTGATCTTCTACTTTAAGGCCTTTTTTGTTTTCTACTTTTTTTTCATTGTCTGTTGTAAAACAGACAATAGAAACCACACTCATAAGCAAGACTGTTGTAGCAGTCACTCAAAATGGATACGTTGGTATTCAGAAACATTTGAGAGCTCAAACACAGGAACCAACTTTTAGAAAACATAATTTTTCTGATTTTTTAAAAGTTTAGGAATTCACTGACAGGAACAAACACTACTTAGTAACTGAGACAAGAAAAAAGCCTGACAAATGCTGTCAAGTTAGTTCTTAGAAAACACTGAAAGATTTAAAGTAGCAACAAAAACTCTGCCAATAGTGCAAACCGAATGTAAAGAATAACAGGAAAATTGGCAGTGTTTAATTTCTAGAGAACATAAATCATATTTGCAAAAAATTAATACGTTTCTCACCCAGGAAAACCAAAGGTAAGAGCTATGGTCAACATATCTTTATAAATCTAAGGTACTACTAAAACAAATGGATGAGTCAAGTTATGATGTATTTACACTATAAGAATCACTAACAGTCAAAAGGAGGATTTAGTAATGAAAGGAATATGAAATTTGGTAATTTTCATGTCTTTAAATTTCATAGCTTTTATACTGAAAGAATCAGGCCCCATTAAAAAAAATAATAATAATCCTCTGGCTCCTGACATAATACAACTACTATCTGGTAACATAGGTCCTCGGTATTAACCATTATTACACCAATGAGCAAAGCCCTCATATTGATTTTGCAAAGGCTTCTTAGAAGTTTCCCTGATCCTGCCACGATGATCCTTTTAAAAGCTGAACAGCGGGAAAGCGGCCGGGTGGAGGAGCCGCAGATAGCCAGGGCTTTGTTTCCTGTCAGCCGTCCCCCCCATGCTGGACCCAGCTCTCTCCTTGAGAGGCTGGTGGTTTCTAGAACACCCGTGTGTGGGGAGCTTCTCAGGAGAGTAGGAGAATCACATTAATAACCAAGGAAACAATATATTTACTTACTCAAATCACGATTTAGGGGCTGAGAATGTAACTGGAAAAGAGGCTAGGGAGAGGAAGAGCGGCCAGAGGGAGAAACTGGAGTGGTCTTGCCTGTGAAGAGGTCAAATTCCAGCCCGTGGTCTGGACCATGAATGAACCAGCCTAATGAGCAGCTCGATTTTGCATGGACAGCAAGTTCTCTAGTCAGGCAAGCTCCAGAGGGGACTGACCTATGAATCTGTCAGAGCCCTAAATATGTGAAAGATTCTGAATAGAACACGCAAACTTCTATCCAACCTACAGTCATCTGAATCAACTGAAGTCATTCAGCTGTCACCACCCGGAAAGAATGTGGGAACCTGGAAGAAAAAACTGGCACTCACAAACTGACGTGTAAACATAACATACACATATACATAGATATATTTCTCCCCCACTTTGGCATCAGAGATCAGAGTTTTTATTTAAGAAACAATACATCACAGGTAAGGCTAAAGAGGCCCTACCATTGCCACTCCCTACCTGCTGCTTGGGTCGAGGTTAATTGCCTTTATGTATTAATTTTCCTACATATGGAGAGATCAATCATAATTATTTTCTATATTTTAAAAATTAATATAAGGAGTATCATACTATATGTGTCCCTCCAACACAGTATTTGTGAGATTTATTCAGATTAATATAGGCAAAACCAAGGTCACAGGAGTCCTCCTTATCCTTGGGGGATACATTCTAAGATGCCCAGCAAATGCCTGAAATCACAGACGGTATCAAACCCTATGTGTACATTTTTTCCTATTCAGATACTTATGAAGTTTAATTTTTTTGTTTCTTTGTTTTTTTGTGACAGAGTCTTGCTCTGTTGCCCGGGCTGGAGTGCAGTGGTACAGTCTTGGCTCACTGCAACCTCCACCTCCCAGGTTCAAGTGATTCTCCTGCCTCAGCCTCCCAAGTAGCTAGGACCACAGGTGCCTGCCAGCACGCCAAGCTGTATTTTTAGTAGAGACGGTGTTTCACCATGTTGGCCAGGATGGTTTCGATCTCATGACCTTGTGATCCACCCACCTTGGCCTCCCAACATGCTGGGATTACAGGCATGAGCCACCACACCCGGCTGAAGTTTAATTTATACACTAGGCACAACAAGGGACTTAACACAATAGTAAAACTGAGTAATATACAACACATTGCTTCCAATTTCATGGACTTAAGATTTGTTCTTCTATAGATTTTAGCATCCTTAGTGTACGATTTTTTTCTTTCCTTATTAAGTCAGGAACTTTCACCTTTTCACTTAAACAAAGCACTTTACAGCTTCTCTTTGGCATATCTGAATTGCCAGCATCATTATTCTTGCACTTTTGGGGTTATTACTGAGTCAAGTAAGGGTTACTTGCACATAAGCACTGTGATGTTGTGACAGTCGATTTAACAACCAAGACAGCTACTAAGTGGTTAAGAGGTGTAGACAGCATGAATCCACTGGATAGAGGGGATCATTCAGGCGTTGGGTGGGATGAAGTGGACAGCAAGATATTTCATCCTGTTACTCAGAACGGCAGGCAATTTAAGGCTTGTAGATTATTTCTGGAATTTTCCATTTAACAGTTAGGGCCTCGGCTGACTTCAGGTATCTGAAAGTGCAGAAAGCAAAAACTGCAGGTAAGGGGGCACTGCTGTGTTTCTTTCTCTCACAAATCCCAGCATGCTCCTGTTTTCTGGCCAAGCCCAGAAATTAAGGTGTAGATGGGGTTCCACTCCCAAACCCCCTGTGCTGGGCACCTCTCCTGCCCTGGCTTTAGCTGAGTGAGTGCACACCCTCACTTTAAACTTCCTTTTTGTCTCTGAAATGTACAGACTTCCTTTTTATGTAGCTCCACTGAGTACTTAATATTTTGGGTTAAATTTCAACCAAAAAAATCCTTTAACAGAGCAAGGGGAACCTGAGTGAGTCCAGCTTACCATGTTGCAGGGACTGGATAGTAATCCTGCTTGAAAGTGCGTTTTCCAACGGTTCCTGGGATGTCTGCTTATCCCTGCTGTAAGTGTGTTCGCACTCTGTGCTTATCAAATTGAACCGTGGAGGAGTCATGCCCCTCCACGCAGCACAAGGGAGAAGGTGGAGGAATGCTTGCAAAAGCATTCGCAGTGACGGAACTGTGATGTCACGGGCATTCAGCCGGAGACCCATCCCTCTGCCAGTAAACATCCTATTCTTGCCATCATCTGCATGTACCTACTCCACAGGCCTGGAATGTGCCTCCTGGCTTAGCTGAGTATGGCTGTCTTTGTGGAGGAATTGCCACCACCTAGTTTCTAATTCCTTCTGTGTTTTACTTTCACAGGCTGGTGGTTTGATGCATGTGGTCCTTCCAACTTGAACGGAATGTACTATCCACAAAGGCAGAACACAAATAAGTTCAACGGCATTAAGTGGTACTACTGGAAAGGTTCAGGCTACTCGCTCAAGGCCACAACCATGATGATCCGGCCAGCAGATTTCTAAATGCCCAAGTCCACCTGACAAAGACTGTCTCGTGCTATTTTCAAAGACTTAAGCCCAATGCACTGAAAGTCACGGCTGCACACTGTGTCCTCTTCCACCACAGAGGGCACGTGCTCAGTGCTGATGGGACCCACGTGCTCCAGATTAGAGCCTGTAAACTTTATCACTTAAACTTGCATCACTTAACAGACTAATGCAAGACCCTAAACATCGTAACTGCCATCAGACAGAACACCCATGCAAAGATGAACCCAAGGCTGAGAATCAGACTGACAATTTACAGACTCAGCTGTCACAACCAAGAATGCCATATGCAAGTTTATCAGTAAATAACTGGAAAACAGAACACTTACGTTATACAGTACAGATCATCTTGGAACTGCATTATTCTAAGCACTGTTTATAGACTGTATAAAAACCCATATGTCCTGAATTCACGATCACTATCGCAATTAAAAGAAAGAAAAAAATCCCTAAGCCATAAAAAGATATATTCGGGGATATTCTGAGAAGGGGTTACTAGAAGTTTAATATTTGGAAAAACAGTTAGTGCATTTTTACTCCATCTCTTAGGTGCTTTAAATTTTAATTTCAAAAACAGCATATTTACATTTAGGTTGACAGCTTAGTTTTAAGTTAATACTGAAATTTCAAGTTTATATGGTGGAAACTTCCAGGATCTCTGAAATTATCAACAGAAACGTGTCATTTTAGTTTATATGCAGATTGTACTATTTTTCTCTGCCTGATTGTTAAATATGAAGGTATTTTTAGTAATTAAATATAACTTATTAGGGGATATACCTATGTTTAACGTTTATAATAATATTTACAATTTTATAATTTGTTTCTGAAAGAACCGATTGTGCCTTGTGATAAGGAAACCTTTGATTTTTAATGATGAGGAAAATTATACGTTTCATTCTATGACAAAGAAACTTTACTATCTTCTCATTATTCTAAAACAGAGGTCTGTTTTCTTTTCTAGTAAGATATATTTTTTTAGAACTAAGCTACAATTTAATTTGTGGTTGAGAAAAGTGTTCTATTTAAGACATTTACAAAGCTATAATCTCAAGATTCACCCTTAAATTTACTTAAGAAAAAAATAATTTACACTAGTAAGATTTTTTTATGTCAATTAGCAAACTGAAGAAAGTGTTTCAAAGTACAAAAAATCTGTTCTTAATATATTTAAGTATTTGCAGAAAATTTGAGAACACAGGGCCAAGTGCAGCAGCTCATGCCTGTAATCCCAAGTACTTTGGGATGCCCAGGCAGGCAGATCACCTGAGGTCAGGAGTTCAAGACCAGCCTGGCCAACATGGTGAAACCCTATCTCTACTAAATAATATAAAAATTAACCAAGCTAATGGTGGCAGGTGCCTGTACTCAGGAGGCTGAGGCAGGGAGAACTGCTTGAACTGGGGACGTGGAGGTTGCACTGAGCTGAAATCACGCCATTGCACTCCAGCCTGGGTGACAAAACGAGACTCCATCTCAAAAAAAAAAAAAAAAAAAAAAAAAAAAAAAAAAAAAAAACAAAAAAAGAGAAAGAAAGAAAAAGAAAATTAGAGAACACAGCTTTATACTCAGGACTACAAAACTCCTAGAGTTTTAACTCCTTTTGAAATTTTCATAGTACGATTAATACTAATGAACATTTGTGTAAAGCTATATAATTTAAAGGAAATTTCTCATATATTCCTTTCTGAGTCATTTGCAAGGAAGTTCACAGTCCAGTCTGCAACCGGAATCTACTACATGTCTGTCTTTGCCTAAAAGCTTACCACTATTTTTTCTTTATTCCACTTTAAAATCTAATTTATTTTACCTCAACTTCTCTTCCCCCTTGACGTAGTTTTAGAACACACAGGTGTTGCTACATGTTTGGAGTCAATGATGAACTCTGGCAAAGTCAAGGCTGTTTTATTTCCACCAAGGTGCACTTTTCCAACAACTATTCAACTGAGTCAAGAACCTCCCTTTCTTAGAACTGTATCTACTTTATATTTAAGAAGGCTTTATGAATTGAACAATGGTATCATGGCCTTGTATCAATCTGAAAAACAACTGAAAGTAAGAAAATTTCACAGCCTCAAAAGGCAACAGCAAGTTTCTATGATACCTCAATGACAACAACGATGGATACTTAGGCAGGGAAATGATAATGCAGGAGAAACTGGCAACAACACACTTAATTTATATCAATTATCCAACTAGGCAGGTGAAATGAAATTCAAGGTCAAATCACATAATGTCATTGAGCGTTATATATAATCTCTTATGACAGAGAATGGGGGAATTTGTGTTTTTACTTTACACTTCAGTTCCTTACACAGTATTTCAAACAAACAGTCTTGCTTAGAGGAATTAATTTTTTCTCTCCTTAAGAAAACATTTATAAAGCTGAAAGGAAATCAAACAGTAATCTTAAAAATGAAAACAAAACAACCCAACAACCTAGATAACTACAGTGATTAGAGAGCATAATTCAACTCCTCGTTGTGTTATAGTCATATAGCCCACTCAAACAACTAAATAATAATACTGGTGGCAGACAAAAAAATCACCATTTCTCTTTCAGATATTAATCTTCTGAATAGGCTGTCACAAACCATTTAACATTTTTGAACATGAAAGGCAACTTCTAAACATTCCTGTATCCAACCAAACCTTAAATTATCCACTTAATTATTACTTAATCTTAAAAAAAAATTAGAACCTGGAACTTTTCCATTAAGCATTTGTAAGTTGAAGTGGAATTTAGGAAAGTCATAAAAATATAAAGATGGTTATCACAGCACTAACCAGCCATAATTTTTATACCTATCAGTTCTATCTCTATTAACAGTAAAAACATTAAGCAAGACATAAGACTACCTTCCCAAGATTTTAGTCTTTTTTCATTTTTGTTTTTCTCGATTCTGAAGACTTTCGTCATTAAATTTTCTTTGGACTTCATTCTCACTACTTTTTGCAGAATGGTCTCAGGTTCTCACATTTGTTCTCACAAATAAATTGATAAAAGGTGTTAAGTTCTGTGAATGTCTTTTTAATTATGGGCATAATTGTACCTGACTTGATAAACCTTAATCTACCCTTATGTTTTTAGTAATGTCTTGAGAACACCAAATTGCAGAAAACAATATCTGACTTACAGGAGCTGCAGGGAAGTGGTTAGAGAGTTCGAATGGCTCCTCAGAAATCCAGTGACCCGATTCTAAAGACCATAGCACCTGCAAGTGATACAATAAGCAGATTTACTATAGATTTATTAGGCTTAGTGGGCAATAAACCAAAGTCACTTTGAAGACACAGCAAAAACAAAACAAACAAAAACTTCAACAGTGATACAAGCCACAGATCTGAAATAGATGTGTTCTCAACAAAGTGCCTTCAGAATCTTCATGTTGCATAAACTTTATGAATGGTAATAAAAACTTGGTTAAGAAAAAGTCTCATGATAACAAGAAATGTGAGTCATTATTCTTGTGAGGCCAAATATTTAAACATTTACCCACTTTTTAAACATACGAAATATTATATATAGATTTTAAATTCCAAGTTTCTCATTTATGAAGCGTTTTATAAATAGTCCTCTGTAAATATTCCAGAATTTTATTAATTAAAACAACAAATTAAAAGAAGATGGATCACAAGCCTAAATTCAAAAGCAATCCCTTTGGCTTGCAACTTTCTAACATTGGCTAATATTTTCAGAAGTCCTCTGGAACACACTTGAAATTCCTTCTGAGACTTTGGAAGAGTAAAATGTCCCATAAACAAGCTTTCATCATCATCATTATACTCAGTATTTGAATCTCCACACTTTTAAATGATCAATACAATGTTTTCCTTTTTAATTCAGTAATATTTGAGGTTCTGCAGCCATCTCTACTCCAGGACCAAACTCCCTGAAAATCTATCTTCGTACACCAGAATTTTAGGGCTAAAATAAGAAAGCTGGATTACATAATTCATCTTTATTGTTTATTATTTTTGAGACACTCTCACGCTGTTGTCCAGGCTGGAGTGCAGTGTTGCACTCTCAGTTCACTGCATCCTCTGTCACTCAGGTTCAAGCAATTCTCCTGCCTCAGTGTCCCGAGTAGCTGAGACTACAGGTGCCCGTCACATCTGGCTAATTTTTTTTGTATTTTTAGTAGACATAGGGTTTCACCATGTTGGCTAGGCTGGTCTCGAACTTCTGGCCTCAAGTGATCCACCGACCTCAGCCTCAATGCATGTTATTTAAAGAGATACACTAACAATATGTGAGGCTTCCCACGAACTCATACAATTAGCCCAGGAAATAAAATGTAAAAAGTTTCAAAATCAGATTCATTTCACACAAGAGGCAACATAAAAAAATAGTACAGTGAGAAAAGCAATGTACCAGTGACAGAAGCCAGGGAACCAGCCTTAAAAATGTGTGTGACATTTAAGTTCAAATATAATCCATGTTAAAATGTTAAACGAATTTAAACAACCTTATGGAGAAAATTTATGTCCTCTGAATTTATACCTTTCTAAATGTTAAGAAAATAAAATCATAAGAGGCTAAAGTAGAGTTCTGGTGTCCGTAAATTAATAAATTTAATTAACATAGGCATCCCAGGAATTAATATTGTATAGAGATAGGAAAAAACACTAATTCAATTGTATTAAAATCATCAAATCAGAAATACAGTGTAAACACTTTGCTCTAGAACTTTCATTGGCAAAACACATCTTCACCTTAGTAGAGTGCTCAAAACAGTGAAAATCTTTGAAAGAGCACAGGCAAGGCTGTAAGCAAACTTAAAAATATTGGCCCAACATCTTTCTCATAAGAAGGGTGGAGTGAATTCAGCATCTGCTGCAAAAGGAACTTAGCATCTTGTAGATAAGACATTCCATAACGAAAATCATGGTTTTTTTAAAAAATATTTTAAGATTATCATTCATAAAACCCAAACCTTGCTGATGAATTTAAATAGGAACTGTGTCTGTGAATAGAAACTGCTTCGTTTCTTCTTTTCTGGTTTGTATGCACATTTTATTTCTCACGTTATTGCACTGGACACAACTTTCGGTTCAAGGCAGGGAAGGAGCAGTGAGAGCATCAGAGTTCTTTGAACTATTTTGTGAGGCAGATTTTTTCAGTTTATTGTAGTATAGAGTATCATAAAAACCTAAAGTGGGCCTGGCGCTGTGGCACACATCTGTAATCCCAGCACATTGAGAGGCCGAGGTGGGCGGATCATCTGAGGTCGGGAGTTCAAGACCAGCCTGATCAACAAGGAGAAACTCCATCTCTACTAAAAATACAAAATTAGCCAGGCATGGTGGCGCATGACTGTAATCCCAGCTACTCGGGAGGATGAGGCAGTAGAATCGCTTGAACCCAGGAAGGGAAGGTTGCAGTGAGCCGAGAACACACCATTGCACTCCAGCTTGGCCAACAAGAGTGAAACTTCACCTCAAAAAAAAAAAAAAAAACCCTAAAGTGTTCAAATTAATGTATCTATGTTCAAATTAACGTATCTATTATATTAATGTGCCTTCTATGTGCAAATTAACCTATAGAAAGCACAAGTTTTTTTGTGTGTAGCTGTTTTTAAAGAATTTATATATATATACACGTATATATATGTATACATGTATATATATTTTTTTTGTTTTGTTTTGAGACAGAGTCTCGATCTGTCACCAGGCTGGAGTGCAGTGGCACAATCTTGGCTCACTGCAATCTCCATCTCCCGTGTACAGGCGATTCTCCTGCCTTAGCCTCCTGAGTAGCTGGGATTACAGGTG